CTCTGGCCCCTCAATGATTCATCTTCCCACATGTAAAAAATACTCACCACCTCCCAAGACCTTCAAAAATCTCAGCCCGTTATAATATCAGCCCAAAGTCCAAAATCTCATAACCAAAATGAGGTCCAGCTGTGGATATAGCCCTTATATATAGTGGGTTGTTTTTTTTGTTTTGTTTGTTTGTTTGTTTTGTTTGTTTGTTTTTTTTGAAATGAAGTCCCTCTGTCGCCAGGCTGGAGTGCAGTGGCACGATCTTGACTCACTGCAACCTCCGCCTCCTGGGTTCAAGTGATTCTCCTGCCTCAGGCTCCTGGGTAGCTGGGACTACAGGTGCATGCCACCATGCCCAGCTAATTTTTGTATTTTTAGTAGAGATGAAGTTTCACCATGTTGGCCAGGATGGTCTCGATCTTTTGACCATGTGATTTGCCCACCTTGGTCTCCCAAAGTGCTGGGATTGCAGGCATAAGCCACTTTGCCCGGCCAGTTCTTCTTAATCATTAAACCTATGAGCTCTGTGAAATAGGTAAGTATTGTACCCCCTACAAACACACATACACACACACACACACACACTTAATATACAATGGGGAAACAGGCACAAGATAATCACTATAGACATTCCTGTTCAAAAAGCGTGGAAATGGGGAACATAAAGGCATTGTTGCTGTGGACCAGCCATGGTGGTTCATAGCAATTCTTAATTTATCTGGAGAAGTATTGTGAGTTCCTTGATTAGAACTCAGTCCTAGTTCTTCCCAGGAGTGATTCTTTTAGCTCTTGGTTCCCTCTTCTGAGTTATCTTGCCTTTTTAATGACAGGTAATGTGTGTTTGCAATAGAGTCATTTTCTTAGCCTGCTTTTTTCTTTTTCTTTTTAAATTTTTATTATAAAAATCTTTTTTTTTTTTTTTTAAGATAGTGTTTTACCATGATGACCAGGCTGGTCTTGAACTCCTGACCTCAGGTGATCCATCCACCTCGGCCTCCCAAAGTGCTAGGATTACAGGTGTGAGCCACTGCACTCAGCCAAGCCTGCTTCTTTCTTGGGAGGCATGGCCCAGTTGAGACAACACTCTTAAACCGCTTAGAAGCCCCAACGAATAGTTGATCAAGAGGATCTGTTCACCACACCTTTACAATCCTAAGAGGCTTTTTGTTTGACTAAAAAGTACCGTAAGGCTCTACTTTCAAGCTTTCTGAAGTTTTAACCATGGATTTATAGATAAACCCTTGACTTTATCTATGCACCATGTTTTCCTAGCAGTACCCTGGATTTGAGCTTTCTTCAGAAGCCATTAAAAAATTCTTCTTTTTCTCTTCAAGACATGTTCTAGCCAGAGCAATCAGGCAAGAAAAAGAAATAAAGGGTATTCAAATAGGAAAGGAGGAAGTCAAATTATCTCTATTTGCAGACAACATGATTGTATATCTAGAAGACCCCATCGTCTCAGCCCAAAATCTCCTGAAACTGATAAGCAACTTCAACAAAGTCTCAGGATACAAAATCAATGTGCAAAAATCACAAGCATTCCTATACACCAATAACAGACTTAAAGAGAGCCAAATCAAGAATGAACTGCCATTCACAATTGCTACAAAGAGAATAAAATACGTACGAATACAACTAACAAGGAATATAAAGGACCTCTTCAAGGAGAACTACAAGCCACTGCTCAACGAAATAAGAGAGGACACAAACAGATGGAGGAACATTCCATGTTCATGGTTAGGAAGAATCAATATCGTGAAAATAGCCATACTGCCCAAAGTAATTTACAGATTCAACACTATCCACGTCAAACTACCAACGACCTTCTTCACAGAACTGGAAAAAAACACCTTAAACTTCATATGGGACCAAAAGAGAGCCCGCGTAGCCAAGTCAATTCTAAGCAAAAAGAACAAAGCAGGAGGCATCACACTACCAGACTTCAAACTATACTACAAGTCTACAGTAATCAAAACAGCATGGTACTGGTACCAAAACAGAGATATAGACCAATGGAGCAGAACAGAGATCTCGGAGGCAACACAACATATCTACAACCATCTGATCTTTGACGAACCAGACAAAAACAAGCAATGGGGAAAGGATTCCCTGTTTAATAAATGGTGTTGGGAAAACTGGCTAGCCATGTGCAAAAAGCAGAAACTGGACCCCTTCCTGACACCTTACACGAAAATTAACTCCAGATGGATTAAAGACTTAAGCATAAGACCTAAACCATAAAAACCCTAGAAGAAAATCTTGGCAAAACCATTCAGGACATAGGCGTAGGCAAGGGCTTCATGACCAAAACACCAAAAGCATTGACAACAAAAGCCAAAATAGGCAAATGGGACCTAATCAAACTCCACAGCTTCTGCACGGTAAAAGAAACAGTCATTAGAGTGAATCGGCAACCAACAGAATAGGAAAAAATTTTTGCAGTTTACCCATCTAACAAAGGGCTGATGTCCAGAATTTACAAAGAACAAAAACAGATTTACAAGAAAAAAACAAACAAGCCCATTCAAAAGTGGGCAAAGGATATGAACAGACACTTTACAAAAGAAGACACACATGAGGCCAACAAACATGAAAAAATGCTCATCATCACTGGTCATCAGAGAAATGCAAATGAAAACCGCATTGAGATACCATCTCACACCAGTTAGAATGGCGATCATTAAAAAATCTAGAGACAACAGATGCTGGAGAGGATGTGGAGAAATAGGAACACTTTTACACTGTTGGTGGGAGTGTAAATTAGTTCAACCATTGTGGAAGACAGTGTGGCGATTCCTCAAGGACCTAGAAATAGAAATTCCATTTGACCCAGCAATCCCATTACTGGGTATATATCCAAAGGATTATAAATCGTTCTACTATAAGGACACGTGCACACGAATGTTCATTGCAGCACTGTTTACAGTAGCAAAGACCTGGAACCAACCCAAATGCCCATCGATGATAGACTGGACAGGGAAAATGTGGCACATATACACCATAGAATATTATGCAGCCATCAAAAACGATGAGTTTGTGTCCTTTGTAGGGACATGGATGAAACTGGAAACCATTATTCTCAGCAAACTGACAGAAGAGCAGATCAAACACCACATGTTCCCACTCATAGGCGGGTGTTGAACAATGAGAACACATGGACACAGGGAGGGGAGCACTACACACTGGTGTCAGTTGGGGGGAAATAGGGGAGAGACAGTAGGGGGTGGGGAGCTGGGGAGAGATAGCAAGGGGACAGATGCCAGATGTAGGTGATGGGGAGGAAGGCGGCAAATCACACTGCCACGTGTGTACCTATGCAACAATCTTGCATGTTCTTCACATGTACCCCAAAACCTAAAATGCAATAAAATAAATAAATGGAAAAAAAAAAAAAAGACATGTTCTGTCATCCAGGCTGGAGTGCAGTGGCACAATATTGGCTCACTACAACCTCCATCTCCTGAGTTCAAGTCATCCTCCCACCTCAGCCTCCCAAGTAGCTAGGAGTACAGGTGCGTGCCACCATACCTGGATAATTTTTTTTTTTTTTTTTTTTTTTTTTTTGTAGAGACAGGATTTCAGCATGTTGAACAGACTGGTCTTGAACTCCTGAGCTCAAGCAGTCTGCTCACTTCGGCCTCCCTGGGATTATAGGTGTGAGCCACTGTGTCTGCCCCAAAAATTTTAATATCACTTGCCATTTAGATAGTCCAGGAATTTTTTTTCTTTTTGAGACTGAGTCTCACTCTATCACCCAGGCTAAAGTGTAGTGGGGTGATCTCGGCTCACTGCAACCTCCGCCTCCTGTATTCAAACCATTCTCTTGCCTCAGCCTCCTGAGTAGCTGGGATTACATGTCCCTGCCACCATACCTGGCTAGTTTTTGTATTTTTAGTAGAGATGGATTTCACCATGTTGGCCAGGCTGGTCTCAAACTCCTGACCTCGTGATCCACCCACCTGTAATCCCAGCACTTTGGGAGGCCGAGGCAGGTAGATCACTAGGTCAGGAGATCGAGACTATCCTGGCTAACATGATGAAACCCTGTCTCTACTAAAAAATACAAAAAATTAGCCAGGCATTGGGGCACATGCCTATTATCCTAGCTACTTGGGAGGCTGGGGCAGGAGAATCGCTTGAACCTGGGAGGTGGAGGTTGCAGTGAGCCCAGATCATGCCACTGTACTCCAGCCTGGGCGACAGAGAGAGACTCTGTCTCAAAAAAAGAAAGTAAAGAAAAGAAAAAAATCCTTCCATTAGGATAGCTGATTCTTTTCTCTTGTGTTTTTCTATAAGAAGCATAAAGAAACCAAGTGGTATCTGGAGTGATGAACATGTGATCGAAGCTGAGCCAATAAAAGACAGCCCTGAGACTTTTGATAAACATATTGGAAAACAGAAACTCTCATTCCACTGGCAGTAGAGTAGAGAGCTGGTAGAATGGGGGCCTGAAGCTTCTAATGGTCATCTTGTCACTATGAGGGAAGAACTTTCTGAGAAAGAAACCAAGACAGAAGGAAGTAGAACCAAGAAGGTGATGGGGAAAGACTAGAAATCTCCTTAACTTGATCTCTCAGTTCCTTAGGCACATTTCCTACCACCCACATTACCGTAGGCAGCAGCAATGCTAACCTTTCTGCTACTGCATCAAAAATCCCCTTTTATCTAATTTCCAATAAGATTTTCATCATTTTTCCCTTAAGGAGAAAATGGCTGTCCTCACTGGCAGGCTCCTTGAAGTCCACAATTCTACCAATCGTGTGGTCAAGACACTTGAAGTTTTCACTATTACCCTCTTCAAAATCCTTACAGCTTTTCCAGCTTCTACTCACTGATTCCAAAGCAATTCCAACATTTGGATGTTTACTGCATCAGCACCCAGCCTTGCTACAAAAATCTGCACTGCTTATCTACTGCTGTGTATTGTCAGCAAATTTACCAGCTTAAAACAAACAAACTTAACAAACAAACTTGCTTATAGCCATTACTGGAATATAAAAAAAAAAACAAAAAACAAATAAACATTTGTTATTTCACACAGTTTCTGAGGACCAGAAATCGGGAATGGCTTTGTGGTGTGGTTCCGGCTCAGGGTCTCTCATGAGGAGGCAGTGAAACTGTCAGGTAAGTTCTAGTTTCCGAAGACTTGACTGCAATTGGAAGATCCACTTCAAGCTTACTCCCCTGACTTAAGGAGCCTTCAGTTTCTTACCTGATGAGCTGATTACAACATGGCTTCTGCCAGCGTGAGTGATCTGAGAGAAAGAGGCGAGAGAGAGAAATGAGACTAGAAGTCACTGTATTTATGATCTAGTTTCCAAGTCACACACCATCACTTCAGCCTTACTCCATTCATTAGAAGGAAGTTCACTAAAAGTCTGGTCCACACTCAAGGGGAGAGAATGAAGTAAAGACGTGAGATACCAGGAAGCAGATCTCATTGGGACCATCTTGGAGTCTGACCACCACAGGAAATTACTAAACCTCTCCTGTGTGTTTGTTAGTGTCCTTATCTGTACAATAGAAATAGTGAAAGTATTTAACTCACATGGTTCCTGTGAAGTGGAGAGAATACATATAAAGCTCCTTCTCTAAACAAAGCAAAGTCTACTACCAACATTACTGTAGGCAGCAACTATATTAAACTTTCTACTACTGCATCAGAACTCTCAGGGCTGTCTCACTGGCTCAGCTTTGATCATATATCCATCCATAAGTCACTGTAGCACTGCAGGGAGGTCACTGAAGAAGTATTTGTCCTTGGCCGGGTGCGGTGGCTCATGCCTGTAATCCCAGCACTTTGGTAGGCTGAGATGGGTGAACTGCTTGAGGTCAGGAGTTTGAGATTGGCCTGACTGAAATGGTGAAAGCCCATCTCTACTAAAAATGCAAAAATTAGCCAGGCATGGTGGTGCATGCCTGTAATCCCAGCTACTTGGGAGGCTGAGGCAGGAGAACTGCTTGAAGCTGGAAGGTGGAGATTGCAGTGAGCCAAGATTAAGCCACCATACTCCAGCCTGGGCAACAGAGTGAGACTCTGTCTCAATAAAAAAATGCTCTCCCATAATCTTTATCATTCCCCTATCCTTCAACGATTTCCTAATTTCACATAAATTACAATGCAGGCATAGCTTGAATTTCTATCCTCCCACTATTATATATGAATTAATAAGCAATTCTTATGAAAATTATAGAGCCATGCCCAAGGGCCTGAAATATAAAATTTTCTGATGAGTTAGGCCCAGGTCATGTGTTCGCCCACTGAGCCAACGAGAGTGTCAGTTACACCGAACGACATGAACTGAGAAAGTGGGAAAGGCCCTATGCTTAGAAGAAAATTAGCATACTGTGGCCAGAAGCAAATAGGATGAATGCTAGGCAGGCAAAATCAACAGGTGCCCTTCTTAATCACCTTCCCTCCCAAATCCATTCCTTTTCCTATGTTCCATTCTTCAGTAAAAGTCACCTCTTGGGTCAACAACCTCTGACACCTACATCCGCCCTGCCCCAAGTATCCAGAATGATGCCACGTTCTTCTGACTCTAGCTCTCTGTGCCCAGAACGTGTTCTCTTGTTTCCTTCTGTCCTGCCCCTGCTTCCCTCTACCTAGAAGATCCGTTCACAGCATCTCTGCCTGGCAAATTCCACACACCTTAAAGGCTGGCTCAAGAACACCACCTCCATGAAGCCCACTGTTGATTTATTGGGAAGAGGCCAATCAGTCACCAACTTACAGGAATGTAGTGCTGAGTCCCACTTTTATTCGGGAGCTGCTTTCACAGTTAAGTAGAGCGCTAGCCCAAGATGTCTGGAAACAGACAGGCTAGAGGCTGGTCCTTCACTGCTCTCTTCTATCTCTGTATCCTCACATTCACTGCCTTTCACACAAAGCAAGCACTTTGCAAATGCCAAAACTGCCTAAATGCAGAAACTTGTTCAGTCTGAAAAAGGCACTGGGAGAACGTTTTTAACATTTCACATCTGTGTCTCAATTTGTAAAACCTCACTGAGGTTTATGAAAGAGCTACTTAATTTTGTTTTCTTTCGCATTTCTGGTTTTGATTCAGATTTGATGGGTCTCTGTCACATCAGCTTGAAAACACTTTCTGCTAATGCACTTAGTCTTGACCTACAGACCCCAGTGGGTGGATAATTCCCAGCTGAGCTCCATGTGGGGAGGACTTGGCCTCAGCATACCTTAGGGACAAAGCTCATGACACAAGACACTCTTTAGCTGTTTTTAGCTGGTCTCTTGAAGGGCATATCAGGTCTATTTGGAAATCTACTTCTCTTTGTTTTTTTCTTCTAAAGATCTCTATCTTTCCCTTTAGTTTTATTTTAATTCTCACTGTGACACCCAGGTTGGAGTGCAATGGCGCGATCTTGGCTCCCTGCAACCTCCGCTTCCCAGGTTTAAGTGATTCTCCTGCCTCAGCCTCCTGAGTAGCTAGGACTACAGGTGCACACCACCACGCCTGGCTAATTTTTGTATTTTTAGTAGAGACAGGGTTTCATCATTGTTGGCCGGGCTGGTCTCAAACTCCTGACATCTAGTGATCTGCGTACCTCGGCCTCCCAAAATGCTGGGATTACAGGTGACTTGCCATTGTGCCTGGCCCCGTTTTGCATTTTATTTATTTTATTTTATTTTATTATTATCATTTTTTGAGACGAAGTTTTGCTTTTGTTGCCCAAGCTGTAGTGCAATGGCGCAATCTCGGTTCACCACAACCTCCGCCTCCCAGGTTCAAGCGATTCTCCTGCCTCAGCACCCCGAGTAGCCAGGATCACAGACATGCACCACCATGCCCAACTAATTCTGTATTTTTAGTAGAGTCGGGGTTTCACCATGTCGGCCAGGCTGGTCTTGAACTCCTGACCTCAGGTGATCCACCTGCCTCAGCCTCCCAAAGTGCTGGGATTACAGGCGTGAGCCACCATGCCTGACCCCTCCTTTGCATTTTAAGTACAACACTGTCTTCTGATTTTCTTCTGCAGGTATTCAGCAATAGAAAAATGGCAGTCATAACACACACACACACACACACACACACACACACACACACACACACAGAGACTGATTTAAAAAGTTAGCCCAAACCTAACTTCAGCAGGCTTGCCAAGTCAGAGAGGAAAAATAACTTTTATGTCAGGCCCTGGGCCTGTCTGTGCTGACAGTTATACACATTCCAGCTTGTCACTTGCCTCTGACTTACTTTCCTAAATACTTCCATCCAGTTATGCCACTTATCACCTGCTTAGTATGTGACACTTCATCAGCCAAGACAAATGTCACATTAGGAAAGCCGTCCAGCGAATGAGGGCAATAAAAGACTGCAACACAAAAAGTTAGGGCTTTTTCTTTTCATCCACTTTCTAGTTCTGTGTTCCAAATCTTGCCCGTGGCTGGGGATGGTGGGATTTTTTACTATCGTGAGCGTGTTGTATTTAGGTTATGGAGACAGATCCTCCAATAAATGGGTCCTGATTGGTAAGACAAACTGCCCTTGAAATTCAAAAACCCTGACAGTAAATTTGATCAAAAGTAGTAACAGTGATGAAAAACAAATGTTCACAAATATGATCCAGCTACCAAAAATGAGGTCACTGGATTTTCAGGGCACTTTCTGTAGACTTCTCACATAAAAAAGAAAAAATCATATTTTTTTTTCATTAAGTGAACTAAATTCTTTTGAAAGTGAGAAGCTGACAGCTTTGGTTGGAGCCAGAAATAGAAGGCAAACACTGGTGTGCCTTAATGGCAAGACTTTGCGGTCCTTAACTACTTCTGCTAATACATTTCAGGGTTAGGTTACAGCCTTTCTCACTTTGGAGGGGCCTCTTGGAACCCGTTTCTCAAAGTGAAGATAACTGTCTCCAGATTTGGTAAAAAGCCCAAAGCCCCTGTTCATACCATAAGTACCACTGATTTTGTTCTGCAGGTAAAAGAAGAGCCAATCAGTAACTCTCAGTGTCAATATTCCCATTCAAGTCCAACCTTTCCCACTCCCTACCAAATTCCACCTAACCTGAGGTTCTTGGACAATTTTAATTTTTGAAGATGTTACTTTCTCTTTCCATGGAGGAAAGGAAGTTGCGTATTATCATGAGTTCATAAAAATAAGTCAAATCTGGCCGGGTGCAGTGGTTCACACCTGTAATCCCCCCACTTCGGGAGGCCGAGGTGGGCAGATCAAGAGGTCAAGAGATCAAGACCATCCTGGTCAACATGGTGAAACCCCGTCTCTACTAAAAATACAAAAATTAGCTGGATGTGGTGGTGTGCACCTGTAGTCCCAGCTACTCAGGAGGCTAAGGCAGGAGAATCACTTGAACCTGGGAAGCAGAGATTGCAGGGAGCTGAGATCGTGCCATTGTACTCCAGCCTGGGTGTCGCCTGTAGTGCCCACTACTCAGGAGGCTGAGGCAGGAGAATCGCTTGACCCCAAGAGGCAGAGGTTTCAGTGAGCCGAGATTGTGCGACTCCCGCCTGGGCGACACAGCGAAACTCCATCTCAAAAAAAAAAAGCTAATCTGATCATGTTACCTGGCTGCTTGGAATCCTTTAAAGATTCTCCATACATGCCATGTTTAAACCGAAATCACATAGCTTAGCCACCTAGACCCTTAGTGATCTGACCTCTGTCCAACTCTCCAGCCTCTGTTTCAGCCCCCTCTTCCTCAATACAATCCGTATGGCCTGCCTGTCAGAATCAAACGCAATTTCCTATCTTGTGCCTGTGCATGTGCTGTTGCCTCTGCTGGTAAAGTGATTCTCACTCTCTTTCTTTACCGGGTCTACTCCTGCTTGCCCTTTCTGGATCTCATCTGCCCCACTTCCCACCAGGCCTTACTTCCAAACGGCAACACACACACGCCTCACATCGTTTCTGAGAATCCTATCTGGATGCTCCTCCTGAGATGTGCTCAGCACCCTATTTTTCCCTTCATATATCTCACAACAATAGTCATTTGTCTGTGTTCCGCTCTATTGGAGATCCACAGCTCATTTATCTGTCTCTAGCTCCTGGTTCGGTCCCTAACACAGAATAAGTGCTTAATCATTTTTATTGAATAAAAGAATAATTGAATTGCCCATTTCTGTTTCTGGAATACACAGTGTCTCAGAATGCCCTTCTGTGAGTTTCTGATCAATGCATCCTATGTTAGAAAGAGTAGATGACTTTACAGCTCTCAAAAGGACTTTCTCTTTTTTTGAGAGGGAGTTTTGCTTTTGTTGTGTAGGCTGGAGTGCAGTGGCGCAATCTCAGCTCACCACAACCTCCGCCTCCCGAGTTCAAGCGATTCTCCTGCCTCAGCCTCCCAAGTAGCTGGGATTATCGGCATGCGTCAGTCACCATGACTAGCTGATTTTGTATTTTTAGTAGAGACAGGGTTTCTCCATGTTGGTCAGGCTGGTCTTGAACTCCCAATCTCAGGTGATCCGCCCGCCTCAGCCTCCCAAAGTGCTGAGATTACAGGCATGAGCCACCGCGCCCGACCAGAAGGACTT